CATTATATCATTAACTTGTGTATTTGGTGGACCAGCTTCTAATACCAAAATATTAATGTTGGGAATATTATAAATCAATTCTCTCGCTAATACACATCCTGCAGTTCCAGCTCCAACAATAATAAAATCATAAAATTCATTGGTCTTTTTAAATATTTGTTGTTGATCTCGGATGTGGATGCTCTCTAACCAAAGGTTACGAATTTCAGCATCATCTTTTAATTCTTTATCTAATTTCAAATCGAATGGCATTTTTTTTATAAAAAAAAATCGAATAAGAAAAGAAATCAAAATATTTTTTTTCAATGTTAAAAATATAACGATGAAATATGAATCAATATCTATTTATATAATTTTAAGTACTCGCTTTCGCGGACGGAATACTTTTTGTTCACTATAAATCTGCTTTATTACAAATCAAGTATTTTTTTGTTGATAATTAATAATAATCTTAACAATTTTAGCGTTAGATAAACAGTAATCAACTGCTAATATAGGAATGAAATATAATTTGATTTCTAATTCGGAGATGAAAAATTCTGGAAAAAACTCCGATAAATGATCATTGTTCTAGTTTCTATTCCAGAAACTCAGACATGTGATCATTTTTCTGAAGAATTTTTATATGGGATAAGAAAAGTCCGGTATAATTGATTTAATCTACCCTGTAAAAAAGTCGACCCGTTTTTTATATTCCATCTTTTTTCCGTAAAAGGCTCATATTTCCGGGATTAATAACCTTATATCACGAATTATTTATATTTTCCGTGAATAGATCCGTAAAAGGCTCATTCCCTATAAAAAAAATTCTGGAAACAACTCCGATAATTGATCATTTTTCTGGAAAATTTTTTATAGGGATTTTTTACAGAAATAACGGATAAAATTTTTTGAGGCTAAAGTGTTTCAAAACTCGAATTTATATGTTAAAAGTAAAAATAACCTTAATATTTACACCATACAAATTTCAATTTATTGGACTTACTCTATAAAAAATATTTCAGAAAATGATCACGTGTCTGAGTTTCTTCGGAATGAAAACTAGAAAAATTGATCATTTATCGGAGTTTTTTCCAGAATTTTATTATAGGGCTTATGTCATCAAAATGAACGTAAAGATTCGGTTTCTGTTAATAAAGCAATAACCTTTGATGTGAATATTTCGTGAGCAAGTTACTATAAAAAAAAGTAAACTTTTTTTGCATCAAATTACGGTTTTTGCTAAAAATAAAAATTTATTCGCTGTATATTTTGCTGAATTTTATAGAGAAATAAATGTCAAATTACACCATTATGCGGTCCTGCAAGGACCGAAGACCGGTCTGGATATGATTCCAATCTGCCGGTTTGACAGATAGACACATTTTCGGCAATTATACATCGGAATTTTTTTTTTTTTTTTGAGATATCATATTAAGGCTATATCTAATACAATATAATAAATTTAGGAATTTTGATTATAATAAAAAAGAGAGAAATTTGATTCAGATTGAATTTTTCATCCATCGGATGGATTTTCAACCCGAATCTAATTTTCTTTCTTTTTCTATATTTGAAAAGGATTTTTAAATTTATTAGGGGTATACTGTAGTTGTATAGTTGTCTATCGTCAATCCGCGGATTGAAAATAGGTCTGGACTGCAAAATGTGAGTAGTTCAAATAGTCATAACTTATTAATTATTTATCATTGCTACAATGAAGAACCTAATAAAGAAATCGGATACCAATTTTATTCTGTCTATTTCAACAATATGATAACCGTTTATTCCCACACCTATTATGCGACTTTAGCATTTAATAAGCATATATTATAATGTAAGCGTTTAATTTACCTTTTTTTTGTAGTATTACCGGACAAGGAATTTATTTTTTAATTGTAAAATTTCCTGTGTAATAGTTCAGATTTCTTAAATAGTAAATATTTTGTGATACATTTAAATTATAAAAAAAGTGACTAATTTAGCGCCGATCGATTGCATATTTCGGTTTGGTTTGATTTTTTGACCAATAAATTTTGAGCCTTTTAGGTCGAGCATGTTTCACCAATAGAATGCGCAATTAGTTTATATCATAATATGTCTTATGATGAATTATTGGAGTATTATTGGTAAATCATCTTTGTTTGATTGAAAATTTTATTAAATTCGGTAGCTTTTTGCTTAAGCGTAACACACCCTTCTTGAAGTTCTGGTGCAATTTTTACAGTACCGCATGGATGATAGTATGATAAAAACGCCTATAATTAAATACAGGAAAGTTATTGATGTAGAAAAGTTAATAATAAGTGTATCCTTTAATATAATATATACACATATTATTTAAATATACATCCGTTTCATTAATTAATCCGGTTCATTAGAATTTACCTTTTTACGAATATACAGTATTGTTCCAATCTTCATCACTCATCTCTTTATCTACATCAGATTCAACTCCCCAAACAGTACTTAATGAAGGTGTTTAAGTATTTTACATGATAATTAATACTACCCATCATTACATATAAATCATCAGGTTTCTCATTGTTATTAGTATATATTATTATTGACGCAAATGTATCTGATATTCATCCTCTGATTCTGAGTGGTCATTTGATTATTTATTCTGATAAAAAAATTTGTATTGCACAAAATCATCTCATGAATGTTTATAGTAATCTTTGGACAAATGCATGTGAAGCAGGAGGAAAATTAGTTGGTCACATTCCAGCTAAAGAAGTTTTATATTATTTTAATTCATCTCCTTTTATTAGTTCACAAAGTTCTTTTTTTACTTTAACAGAAATAGCTTCAAAGACTTTCTACCCGAGATGATCCCAAATAATTTTTAAATTTTCATTTTTGTAATTTGTGTTTTTATTTGTTTATTAAATCATTTACTATTTTTTACGAATTAAAAGTAAAATATGTTAGTATCATTTTATGGTTCGAATACCCATTTTTTTTATGGTTACTACCATTTTGGTTTGCATAATTAGTAAAACCATGTGGTTCGCGATCATATGATTTTTCAATTTTTGGGGTGACCTCTATTAGAAGTTTTCCCGGTCCTCCAGGAATACTACACCTAACTTACGTCAGTTCTGGAATGCGAGTTTCTCAATATGATAACAATTTAATTCAATGTTTTGGTTGCAAATATAAATACAAAATTGTGTGATCGTTTTTTTTTGTTTTTTTATTAATTTTGTAATAATGATGATATTCTTGAAGCGGTCAAAAAAAATTACTCTAGTCAATTACAATATTTAGTATAAAATTTAAAAGGTGAGATGTAGAAAATAAACATAAAATTATGAAAAAGGAGGAAATTAGAATATGAAGATATTAAAAAAATTTTTGATCCTGTATAAATAGAAATATTATACTTTTATCAACAAAAAATAACTCGATCCGATAAATTTTCCTAAACCACGTTTATTATTTATTTATGAAGAAAAAAATTTCAATATCAAAGAAAAAAACGATAAATTATCAAAATTTAAATAAACAACAATCGTTAAGGTAATTCATGATGCCTTTATAAATTTGTTCATTATTAAAAATACTATTTTTGGTCAATTACGAAAAAAATATAAATTTCAAGAAGTTTCAGAAGGGTAGAAGGCAAACTGCAAAAAAAGGTCCATCAGAGGTAAAAAGAATTGTATATTCAATATATTCAACATATTACGTTACTAATAGTCAAATAAATTTTTTAAATCTAATTTTTTCTTAAATATAAATGATGTATTATTTTAGTATGATTAATTCCATATGGAGTAATAAATCATCAATAAAAGTTTAGAAATATATTAATAATAATAGTCGTAATTCCTCGCAGAAACATATGATGCTATCAAAGAGGGAGGGACGCCGACATATAACAAGAGGATTAATATGTCCATTTTATTTTGGGACATCAATATTAAATTTTATTAGGATTTTCGTTTGATTTTTCGCTTAATTATTGCTTATATTTGCACAAATTTGCTTTTGGGGGAATTGATCTCATCGATCAACCACCTCTCCTTAATTTACCAATAAAAGAATTTAACGCTGTCCATAGTATGTATGCGAGAATAAATTATTTTGCGCAATTACTTGTTCTTGTAGTACATGTGACGTATTACAATAAAGAAAAATTGGTTTATTGATCATATGAAATACAAGTTCGGTGTATTCACTAATAATACATAGACTCATCACGTGACTTTCGACAGAAATTTGGTTCTATGACTGCGGAAATAATTATCCGTAAAATTCTTTTCTATAATAATAAAATATGCCTTGGAAATTATACCGAAGCAGTTATAGTAAACAAAAAAAGAATCAATTAAAATTGTAACGCAAAGGATTTATCACATTTAGGGATGGCACGTGATTTAAAACATGATGTTTCAAAAACAATTTAGCAATTTAAATCAGTTTATTATTGTTTTAATAATTATAAAACATAATTATTGCGTAATTATGTTTACTCATTATTTTTTCGAAACCTATATCGTCATTATAAGCCACTGATCAAGAAGTCTATTTTATTAATTCGGAAAGGTTTTTACAAGTATATATATCCTCAAAACTTCCTCTATAAAAACATTTCTTTCTCTAAAACTTCTTTTTTTAAAACATTTCTTTCCCTAAAACTTCTTTCTTTTATCACAGAATTATCTCCAAATGATGATTTCAATAAATTGTTTACTCCTAGGAAAGACTTCTTTTGATGATACTTTTGCGGTTAACGTTGTTGATAATAACAAGATTATTGATGTTTGTGTCAATATTAATAATTTAAAGATTTCAGATCTCAAGTTACTTATTTGGAATAAGAAAAAAGATACGTTAGGAATCAATGATCCTGATATTATGAAGCTTTGGAAGGTTGACATCGCTGAAAGTGAAGAAGACAGGCTTAAAGAATTTGAAGAAGATAATATTGTTGGTGCCGAGCTTATGAAACCTAACCGCATGTTCAATGACTATTTTAAAAGAGAAGAACTTACCCAGTGGAACATTCACGTCATCGTGCAAGTGCCCGCCGCTGCTGGTAAGCGTCTCCCAATGTTTAATCGAAATTTACAGTTGAAAAAAATACCTTAATTTAATATTTAACCTTGCACTGTATCATATTCTTTTTTTTAAAATTACCTTTCATATCTTTTTAGCCCCGTTTCTGCTAAATTAAACTTATCTATATATATATATATAGAATACAGTAAACGATGAAATCCGTATAACAGATAAAGTTTTCCGATAGTTTCACAAATTATATCCGTGTCTATTTTATTTAAAAGGAGAATAGATTATACAAGAATAACAAAATAGAAATACAAGGTATTGTATCGCTAGGTATACGACATCCTGTAATAACCCTAACGCCCTAACCTCAAACAATCGGCTCCACCCTTCGATGTACACACTATTTTTTTTTATTTTTTATTTTTAGAAAACAGAAAAGCGAACCCGTAGATTCAATTATACAGAGAACATAAAAGTCTATATATAATACTATCACTACATGGCAAGCCACCCCGAAGCGTGACGATTTCTGTTCTTTATGGAAT